GATATGCTTTTTAATATGCTGAAAATAAGGACCATTTCTGATGCATTTCTGAGTTTTCCACACATGCTCAATAATTTGACAAATATAAAATCCATATTTTTCTTTCATGCACAAATCATTTTTGGATTCCCTCCAGATATCATACATGGTATTGTCGGATATTGACTCATTAGATATCCTGGGATAGGCCTATCTGGACATCTTATTTTCTCTATATGATGACAAATACTGACAGTAGGCCTACATAGTATATTTTCTCAGCACATACAATGCATATGCTCTTGACTGAGGTCCATATCAGCATCTTGATATGCTTTTTGATATGCTAAATAAGGACACTTTCTGATGCTTATTTGAGTTTTGAGGACATGCTCAATAATTTGACAAATATTAAATCCATATAATGTTTTCGGACACTAGCTATAATTGTTGTATTCCAATCTGCATAGAGGCGCAAGCAAACCGCAAGCTAAAAACACTGTAACTGGTAGCCTAGCAACAAGAATCAGGTATTTTCTGCTGTTGAGTTCCAGCTGTCATTTTTTAATTTGGGCGCCACAGATGAGTGTGTAAACAGTGTGGAGAAACAAAGAAGTGAGAAGCTGTTCAGAAAATACCTCAAAGAAGTTAACGCTGTAGTGAGTAGCTAATTTGAGATGTTTTATTTATCTTAATAACTAGAATCAAGAATGTTAGCTAACTTGGCCAGCAGCCATTCGGGCTAGCTAGCTAGCTAGTTAGCGAGGCTTGATAGGGGGGTAAAAGCTAGCCTAGCTAGCTAACAAATAACGAAATTGTACCTCCTATCAAGCCTCAAGGTGACAGCTAACATTTTTTTTTTAATTAGGCATATTTTGTATTGCTGGTTAATATAAGCTATCTAGCTAACTAACTTAGCTAGTTAGCTAACTAGCACATTGGCTAGCTTGTTTCCGTTAGTTTTCTTGTCATGAATGAAGCAGGTAGAGTAGTTACCTTGTGGTATGGTTATGTGAAATGACAATATTTTCTTGCAATGTCCACACAATTTTGATTTTATGCATTAACAGTTTGGAGTGGATCACAGACCAACACCACCATCACTGCTCAGTTGGTAAGAGCATGGCGCTTGCAACGCCAGGGTTGTGGGTTCGTTTCCCACGGGGGAGCCAGTATGAAAATGTATGCACTCACCTACTGTAAATCGCTCTGGATAAGAGCGTCTGCTAAATGACTAAAATGTAATCACTGGGGACAGCCGCTGATGATCCAATCTGCAGCCATTGCATCCATCTTCCATAACAAACAGGGCAGGGTATTGAGGGTGTGCAAGTTTTATTTTCTGTTAAATAAATACAATAAAAAAAATTAACAGCTCTGGATTTGCTATGCTGCATTTAAACAGAAATAGCAGAGATATGCTTTGGAAATAGAAACTTGGATTAAATAGGACGATGTTTGCCTTTCCGGGCCTTGTAGTCTATTACTGAATATGGTGCAAATGTATGCTCAGATATGTCACCATGTGAAGAAGCACAATGATTTTCGACGCCTGAACAGGTAAAATAATTTGGCCGCTGGACATTGATTATGAGTCGGATTTAGCTCATTTTTGATCAGACATACGAGGATGAATATTACATATAATGTACGGATATCTATTGAGAAATGTGGATTCGTTCATGCCTAAGTCTAACGGCTTAGATATGTCAGCATGTTGACACCCTTTCTGGAGTTAGAATTCTATAAATATGTAAGCGGGTGCATGCGCATCAGTTGCGTGTCTTGAACTTATCTCACCGCACCCCAGATATCTCCCTGGACTCATATGGTTGAAGGGAGATTTCTGAGGTCAGGATTGGATGCATGTAGAAACTGTCTCATTACAGAGAATACCCTAGCTCCATATTATTATATATGAAATTAAGGAGATGCGTATCTGGAGCATTACTCCTTATATCTAATGAAATATCAGATATCCGGAAACATAGATAAAGATATCCCCTGATATTGACCCTTTTCGCCCAGTGTAGCATCCCTCCATCCTTGTCTAACAAAGATATCTCTCAGGATAAGAGCTGCAAATACACCAGGTGAGTTTGTTAACTTTTGGATAGCCTATAGAGGGATTGCTTATGTTTTCCTTAGTTACCCATCTGACTTGATGCCCATACATCTGTAGGCTACTGTTTGTCATGTAGCCTAATAATAGACAGAGGTGTTGGCTAAAGAAACACATGCTATGGTATGACAATGATAGAGGAGGCTCAGGAGACATATGACAAAAGTACTGAGAATGTATAAGAGTGAGTCAGTCAAGACAAACAACTTATCATGATGCAGACAAATAATTTCAAATGCGCTGCTTACAAAACATCAGGTGCACATCCATGTCGGGGCTTTATAGTGCGACCTATGGTCTAACGCTAAATCAATGACAAAACAATTGACTGCAACCTATGTAGGCTGTAGACTCGACATTGACGGGTTCACTTTCATGCTGCTTCGCACCAAACAGAAATGGACCGACAGAAACCGTTACATGAGTGGCTGCTGATTTGCCTGTGTCAACAGCCTCGACTGATAACCTCTACCTGTCTCTGTGACTACAAAGCTGCTGCGCTCTATATAGCATACGTATGAGCATGGCATGTATTGCGGTCAATGACAAATTCGAAATACAGAGCAACATATCGAGACTTCCTCAAGCTGGAGTAGGTGACAATGTGCGCAATAAACCAAACGTTACAGCGGAAGATGTCGCATTTCTGCAAGTGTGTGGGGTTGTTGTAAACATTACCCTGATAAGAAGTCATCATCATAAAGGCACAGATTAATAACATTAATAACATAGTCTCCAAGAAGACCTATAAAAAACATAAGTACATCCTCGAATTAACTGAATTCACCAACCATATGGAAAAATAACGGTACTTACGGGTAGCCTACAGCGAAAAAAACTATCTCCCCAAGGCTTACATTGGGGCATGGATAAAGCAAGGGTAACGTTAACTTACCCAAAACACGAAGGAGTAAACGATGAGGAGGGTTTTGAGAAAGGTTATCACTGGTTTGGTCTCCATTCTGCCAAATGCCCATACAACAGTAAACTGAATGGTCGGTTTCTGCAAACGTTGCGCTACCACGACTCTCCACTGGAGGACATTCGGCTGCTGCACCGCAGACATTCACAGCGCAGCCGCCAAGATCTTTTTGCTCCATAAGTAGACATTGATTGCTCCCCTAACCACTGATACAGGCTCAGATATTCTTTCTCCGTAATATTAGGTAAGATTTGTTTTAATAATCTGTTCCTAGACCTGATCTGTGGTTAGGAACAAATACCCCGTGAAAATAACACAGCTCGATTACCCCCTCTGGCGGACCTTTCAAGCAGGTGCGTTTCCAAGGGCAGTAGTATAGCGTTTTAATTTAATATTTTTTATAACTAACCCACGATAGACCACAGCCTGTTGTTTCCAATGAGAGCAAATTAATCATAGTGGGCAGAACAAAAAAGGAGGTGGGCCGAACCAAGCACGAGATAGCAAGATCCTATTGGCACGTTATAGTATATATTTGCATATTTCCGTTAGGGAACGTCTGCTCTGTGAAGTGCACCTGTGCAAAGCTCAATTTGCCCTTGCACTCCTTCAAAACAACGCTTTTTTTTTTTACTTTGGCAAAGGGTAAATTCTAGTCTTGGGAACAGAAAACTGTATTGAGATCAAATGTTTCATCAATTAGAAAATTAGCAGAATGTCGGCCAAAATCCATCTTGTGCCATCTTCTCCCAATTCACACTTTGTTTGTTATATCATCATCTTGAGGATTCAGGAATGTATCATGTGTTGGGATAATATGTTGGATAGATGTCGAAAGATGATTGTTCTGTTTGGTGCCATTGTACTGGAATACATGTAAATTAAACAGGATAAGAGTACCACAAGAACTGCCTTACCGAAGTACAGGGGTCCCTAATGTAAACTGGATCTCTTTCCTCCATTGTAAAAGCCTATAAGACTGTCCCACTTTAGCTACTGCATGCTGTCCTACTTTAGCTAGCTATTGTTGGTAAAGGGACAACAAAAATTACTGAATTACAAAATGTAAACAAAACGTTTTATTTTATTTTGTTGCACCTGTACATAGTATGCACATTTACATCCCAATTTGGCACAGTGCATTATTTATGACAGTTTTATAATCTTAACATCAAAATAGAAAACAAGCTATGGCATTTTGTCAAATAGATTTTCTCAATACAATTTGTTTACAACCATGATACTGTAGCTGTACTTTTAGTTTATGGTTTACACAGCTTTGTTGGCCATTAGCCAATCAGCGTTTCTCAACAAGTTCAAAGCAAGTGAATGCATGCAATTTGTATTTACGACTTCACAACTGGTAAGTTCCCACCTCCCACTTGGTTACAACGCAGCGTTCAGCTCTGGGGAAAAAATATCTAAGGTATTATCTTAGTTGTACTAGGATACTTGATGTAAAGAAGTGACATTTTATATAATTACATGAATGTGTCTAAATACCATATAAAATACCATCGAATTTTAGGTACACTGCATCACAACTATCCCTGTTACAACTAATCTGAGTCATGTGAAAAAATACAACAATACTTATTGTCATCAACTATGCCAATCAAAAGACCTCTTCTTACTGATATAAATTATATATGATTAGATAAATAGGGAATGTTCGACCACAGGTCAATAATAAAAAAAGAGAGGCGTCAAGTATATTTAGCCTACTTCAGGCCACAAAAACTATTTTTGGTCAGAAAATATATATATTTTAAATAAAACGTATGTATGTATGTATGTAGAGACACTAACGAAGCATTATCACATTAAATAATAGTGGTATCTAAATTGGAGTTATTTAGCTGTTACAACTGACCCCATTTTACTTTTAGCCCCAGTCTCCCCGAGTTACACAATAGGCTACTTGCAACTGTTAAACCTTTTTGCGGTTTATTTAGCTGCTGCTTACAGGGCAATGCTATGGAGGAGGCATACGACATAACATTCTACATAGAAGAGATGTACGATGCAACAGTGGAAAGGGTGAAGGATGGAGCTGGGGAGAGGCCCATGTCCTTTTTTAACATCACTTGCTTTGCTAGGAGTAATTACTGGACAAGTAATGTACATATGTACAATCCCCATGTGACGGACATTGCAGTAGCGGCTTTCCTGGGTCGCTACTGTGATGTCACGTCAGGAGCGAGGTATGTGAAGGATTCTCTTGGTTTCTGGAATGGCCGTTGTCAATACTAAGTGCTACTCAGACCAGACCAGGGTGGATTCGAGGGCTTTCTGCACCTCCCTGCAATCTTTTCCCTAGGAGCAGAAAGGGGTATGTTATTTTATGCCCGTCAGCCACCGTTTTGCAGAATGTGCAGGGAATATGGGCATGCTAAGGCCTCGTGTGGTACTCGGAAGTGTCGGTTTTGCTAGTCCTAGGTCCAAAGGAGTGCCACGGGTGTGGCAATTGGCAGCACCTGTTCCAGGATTGCCATGCTCGTCAGCGCTCATATGCTGCAGCTGATGCTGGGGGAAAGGCAGCAGGAGGACCAGATGTAGGGGATGGGGAGCGGCGGAGAGGCCGCGACGCAGGCCCCAGGGCAGCAGAGCCAGCGAGGAAGGAGCCGAATGTGGCGCCGGAGAGACCATCCCCACCCTCGCCGACTCCATGTTCTAAGGCCAGGAAGGAGCCGACCTCAGCGTCGTCAGGAGTCATCCCAGAAATGCCCGCTACCAAGCAGGGGGCACCGGGGAGACCCTCTTAATTGCTGAGTCGGCAGCCCTGTCCAATGAGGACCTGAAGAGTACCTGGTGAGTACCTGAAGAGCCCCCTGCCAGTTTTTGTTTCTTTGTACCTTTAGTTTTTGTTCATGGCCAATATACAAATACTGACAATGAACATTCGTGACCTCAGAGACTCTGTAAATGTGCGTTTTACTTTTTGTTTTTTGCAGGAGGTTCATTTAAGAGATGGGGGAGATGCAAATAAGTTTAAAAGAGAGTGGGACAAGGGGGCACTCTGTGTGGAATGTGGGAGGGGTTCAATCTTCAGGGGTGGGATTTTGTTTGGGACCAGGGAGGTGAGTGTGTAATGCACATATGTGGTGATGCAGGGGAGGATTTTGGGGGTGGACATTTCTTTGGGGGACTTTAGACTTAGGGTGATAGGGGTCTATGGGCCGCAGACGTCACCAGACAGGAGGGAGATGGTGGAGTGTCTGGCGCCCCTGTGTGCCACCAACAGACAGTTCATGGTGGGAGGGGATTTTAATGTAGAGCTTGGGGATTTAGGGGATAGCAGTGTGGGGGCAATCACTGGACTAATGGCTAGCCATGGTCTGGTGGATGGCGGCCTACACACTACTCTGGCGTTGGCGGGTCCCACGTGGCAAAACTCCCGGGGGGTCACGCGGAGGCTCAACTATTTATTTCTATCCAAGTCCTTGGGTCTGTTGTCTGGTCGTCTGTTGCCTGTGTTCTTCTCGGATCCTCCGGGTCAGTGCGTGCGTCTGCCTCTTCGGTATTTGTATTTGTATTAATTATGGATTCCGATTAGCTGCTGCCAAGGCAGCAGCTACTCTTCCTGGGGTCCAGCAAAATTAAGGCAGTTCATACAATTTAAAAAACATTACAATACATTCACAGATTTCACAACACACTGTGTGCCCTCAGGCCCCTACTCCACCACTACCACATACAGTGGGGAAAAAAAGTATTTAGTCAGCCACCAATTGTGCAAGTTCTCCCACTTAAAAAGATGAGAGAGGCCTGTAATTTTCATCATAGGTACACGTCAACTATGACAGACAAATTGAGAAATTTTTATCCAGAAAATCACATTGTAGGAATTTTAATGAATTTATTTGCAAATTATGGTGGAAAATAAGTATTTAGTCACCTACAAACAAGCAAGATTTCTGGCTCTCACAGACCTGTAACTTCTTCTTTAAGAGGCTCCTCTGTCCTCCACTCGTTACCTGTATTAATGGCACCTGTTTGAACTTGTTATCAGTATAAAAGACACCTGTCCACAACCTCAAACAGTCACACTCCAAACTCCACTATGGCCAAGACCAAAGAGCTGTCAAAGGACACCAGAAACAAAATTGTAGACCTGCACCAGGCTGGGAAGACTGAATCTGCAATAGGTTAGCAGCTTGGTTTGAAGAAATCAACTGTGGGAGCAATTATTAGGAAATGGAAGACATACAAGACCACTGATAATCTCCCTCGATCTGGGGCTCCACGCAAGATCTCACCCGTGGGGTCAAATTGATCACAAGAACGGTGAGCAAAAATCCCAGAACCACACGGGGGACCTAGTGAATGACCTGCAGAGAGCTGGGACCAAAGTAACAAAGCCTACCATCAGTAACACACTACGCCGCCAGGGACTCAAATCCTGCAGTGCCAGACGTGTCCCCCTGCTTAAGCCAGTACATGTCCAGGCCTGTCTGAAGTTTGCTAGAGTGCATTTTGATGATCCAGAAGAGGATTGGGAGAATGTCATATGGTCAGATGAAACCAAAATATAACTTTTTGGTAAAAACTCAACTCGTCGTGTTTGGAGGACAAAGAATGCTGAGTTGCATCCAAAGAACACCATACCTACTGTGAAGCATGGGGGTGGAAACATCATGCTTTGGGGCTGTTTTTCTGCAAAGGGACCAGGACGACTGATCCATGTAAAGGAAAGAATGAATGGGGCCATGTATCGTGAGATTTTGAGTGAAAACCTCCTTCCATCAGCAAGGGCATTGAAGATGAAACGTGTCTGGGTCTTTCAGCATGACAATGATCCCAAACACACCGCCCGGGCAACGAAGGAGTGGCTTCGTAAGAAGCATTTCAAGGTCCTGGAGTGGCCTAGCCAGTCTCCAGATCTCAACCCCATAGAAAATCTTTGGAGGGAGTTGAAAGTCCGTGTTGCCCAGCGACAGCCCCAAAACATCACTGCTCTAGAGGAGATCTGCATGGAGGAATGGGCCAAAATACCAGCAACAGTGTGTGAAAACCTTGTGAAGACTTACAGAAAACATTTGACCTGTGTCATTGCCAACAAAGGGTATATAACAAAGTATTGAGAAACTTTTGTTATTGACCAAATACTTATTTTCCACCATAATTTGCAAATAAATTCATTAAAAATCCTACAATGTGATTTTCTGGATTTTTTTCTCTCATTTTGTCTGTCATAGTTGACGTGTACCTATGATGAAAATTACAGGCCTCTCTCATCTTTTTAAGTGGGAGAACTTGCACAATTGGTGGCTGACTAAATACTTTTTTCCCCAACTGTATCTACAGTACAAAAATCAATGTGTACGTGTGTGTATAGTGCGTATGTTATCGTGTGTGTGTATTCATATGTCTGCGCCTATGTTTGTGTTGCTTCACAGTCCCAGCATTTCCATAAGGTGTTTTTTTAATCTGTTTTTTAAATCTAATTTTACTACTTGCATCAGTTACTTAATGTGGAATAGAGTTCCATTTAGTCATGGCTCTATGTAGTACTGTGCGTCTCCCATAGTCTGTTCTGGACTTGGGGACTGTGAAGAGACCTCTGGTGGCATGTCTTGTGGGGTATGCATGGGTGTCCTGTGTGCCAGTAGTTCAAACAGACAGCTTGGTGCACCCAACATGTCAACACCTCTCATAAACACAAGTAGTGATGAAGTCAATCTCTCCTCCACTTTGAGCCAGGAGAGATCGACATGCATATTATTAATATTAGCTCTCTGTGTACATCCAAGGGCCAGCCGTGCTGTCCTGCTCTGAGCCAATTGCAATTTTCCTAAGTCCTTTTTTGTGGCACCTGACCACACGACTGAACAGTAGTCCAGTTGTGGTAAAACTAGGGCCTGTAGGACCTGCCTTGTTGATAGTGCTGTTAAGAAGGTAGAACAGCGCTTTATTATGGACATACTTCTCCCCATCTTAGCTACTGTTGTATCAATATGTTTTGACCATGACAGTTTACAATCCAGGGTTACTCCAAGCAGTTTAGTCACCTCAACTTGCTCAATTTCCACATTATTTATTACAAGATTTAGTTGAGGTTTAGGGTTTAGTGAATGATTTGTCCCAAATACAATGCTTTTAGTTTTAGAAATATTTAGGACTAACTTATTCCCTGCCACCAACTCTGAAACTAACTGCAACTCTTTGTTAAGTGTTGCAGTTATTTCAGTCGCTGTAGTAGCTGACGTATAGTGTTGAGTCATCCGCAAACATAGACACTCTGGCTTCACTCAAAGCCAGTGGCATGTCATTAGTAAAGATTGAATAAAGTAATGAGCCTAGACAGCTGCCCTGGGGAATTCCTGATTCTACCTGGATTATGTTGGAGAGGCTTCCATTAAAGAACACCCTCTGTGTTTTGTTAGACAGGTAACTCTGTATCCACAGTATAGCAAGTGGATTAAAGCCATAACACAAAATTATTCCAGCAGCAGACTATGATCAAGAATGTCAAAAGCCGCACTGAAGTCTAACAAAACAGCCCCCACAATCTTTTTATCATCAATTTCTCTCAGTCAATCATCAGTCATTTGTGTAAGTGCTGTGCTTGTTGAATGTCCTTCTCTATAAGCATGCTGAAAGTTTGTTGTCAATTTGTTTTCTGTAAAATAGCATTGTATCTGGTCAAACACCATTTTTTCCAATAGTTTACTAAGGGTTGGTAACAGGCTAATTGGTCGGCTATTTGAGCCAGTAAAGGGGGCTTTACTATTTTTAGGTAGCGGAATGACTTTTGCTTCCCTCCAAGCCTGGGGGAACACACATTCTAGTAGGCTTAAATTGAAGATATGGCAAATAGGAGTGGCAATATCGTCCGCTATTATCCTCAGTAATTTTCCATCCAAGTTGTCAGACCCCGGTGGCTTGTCATTGTTGATAGACAACAATACTTTTTTCACCTCTTCCACACTCACTTTATGGAATTCAAAAAAACAATGCTTGTCTTTCATAATTTGGTCAGATATACTTGGATGTGTAGTGTCAGCATGTCAGCATAGTGTTAGGCATGTCATGCCTAAGTTTGCTAATCTTACCAATGAAAAAATCATTAAAGTAGTTGGCAATATCAGTTGGTTTTGTGATGAATGAGCCATCTGATTCAATGAATGATGGAGCTGAGTTTGCCTTTTTTCCCAAAATGTCATTTAAGGTGCTCCAAAGCTTTTCTCTATCATTCTTTATGTCATTTATCTTTGTTTCATAGTGTAGTTTCTTCTTATTTTTTATTCAGTTTAGTCACATGATTTCTCAATTTGCAATACTTTGCCAATCGGTTGTGCAGCCAGACTTATTTGCCATTCCTTTTGCCTCATCCCTCCTCTCAACCATACAATTTTTCAATTCCTCATCAATCCACAGGGATTTAACAGTTTTTACAGTCATTTTCTTAATGTGTGCATGCTTATTAGTAACTGGAATAAGCAATTTCATAAATGTGTCAAGTGCAGTGTCGGTTTGCTCCTCATTACACACCACGGACCAACATATATTCTTTACATCAACAACATAGGAATCACTACAAAACCTATTGTATGACCTCTTATACATAATATTAGGCCCAGCCTTTGGAACTTTGGTTTTCCTAGATATGATCACTACATCCTGGATACTGCTTTCAAACAAATCTCTGCAATATTAGTAAATATATAATCAATACATGTTGATGATTTAATTCCTGTACTGTTTGTACCTACCCTGGTAGGTTGACTGATAACCTGAACCAGGTTGCAGGCACTGGTTACAG